CCATTCCCGTCCCATATCCCCTTCCCCATATCCCCATCCCTGTCCCCATATCCCCCTTCCCCATTCAATCCCCTCCTTAGATCCCCTTCCCCATATCCCCATTCCCATATCCCTTTCCCCTTCCCCGTTCCCATATCCTCATATCCCCTTCCCCATATCCTCATCCCCATATCGCCGTATCCCCGTCCCCATATCCCCGTATCCCCATATCCCTATCTCCCAATATCCCCATCATCTCCCAATATCCCCATCATCTCCCAATATCCCAATCTCCCCATCCCCATATCCCAATCTCCCCATCCCCATATCCCAATCTCCCCATCCCCATATCCCAATCTCCCCATCCCCATATCCCAATCTCCCCATCCCCACATCCCAACAACCCTCCTGACCTCAGGAAAACCTCTGTTTCACAAATGCCCTCTGAAGAGGGAACATTTCCTTTCCCCCACGCCTGGGCTCTGGAGGACAGTGAACCATTTCAACAGGGGTTTCATCTGGCTGCAGTTCTGCAGACAAGAGGGCACAGTGGGAGCCCTGATCCCAGTTGGGGCCTCCAGGCACAACAACAATATGAATTCTTAGGAATGGTGAGGGGTCAGGGCCAGCAGCAGCCCTGTCTCTCCTCTAGCTCACACCCTGCACATCAGGACTCCTAAGTATCTCTCTTAGTGATATTTACAGAGCAGCCAGACCCCCCCAGGCGAGCGGAGGCTGCGGAAGGAGAAGCGGCGGCGGCGCCAGGAGCTGTTCCTGGAGCAGAAGGTAGGGCAGCCCCGTTCCCCCCCGCGCCGGGCGGGCCCCCCGGCCCCGCTCACCCCCCTTTCCTCCCCCGCAGAAGCAGAAGCTGCTCCCCCAGGCCGTGCTGCAGGAGCTGAGCGAGAGGTGAGAGGGGTGCGGGGCAGCTGGAGGGGCTGGGCGTGCGGGGGGGAAGGGTCACTGACCTGTTTGTTGCCTTCTCCTCGCTCCCCAGGCCCGCTGGAGAGGTGGCAGCTGAGCCGGGTACGTAACAGCGCGTCCCCGCACCTCGGGTGTGCGGGGGCAGCGCTGCGGGACCGGGGCCTCTGCAAGGCTGGAGCCTGAGCAGGTCGTTGCCAAGGGAAAATATCCGAGGAAGAATATAAAAGTCATCCCGTTCTGGTGTCTCTTACAAAAGCTGTGATTTCTGTGAGAGTGGCCCGAGGTGTTGGTGAAGGGAAACGATGGGCAGATGTGGTGATAGAAAAGCAAGGATTACCAGAGGGAGATTATAAAGGCTGTTTCAGGCCAGAGTTACTAATCGCCTTGGTAGTTTACATATCACACTGAGATTTAACAGCATCTGTAAAAAATTAGGTAACTTTTTTTCAACTTCTGAACTGGAAGCTCAGGAGCCTGGAGTATTCATGACTGCTGCTTTCTAGCCCTCTTCCTTCATCTGTACGTTGAAGTACTTCACCAAGTACTTCAAAAAGTACAAAGTTTGTGGGTGTTTTTTTTTTTGTTTAAACAGTTCTCTTACCTGTACCTTGCATAATCATACACCAGCAGCTGTCACTGCTGCTCTCTTCTCATTGTTTTTAAAACATCTGATGGCATAAAAGAGGTGAGCTCAGGATGATGCTTTGAATATTCAAGTCTCCATGGTACTTAATGGCAGCAAGGAAACTGGGGCTGGACTCCCCATTGTGTCTTGCTTGTAGCTGTTGCATTGTGTTCAGTTTTTGTCCTGGGGTGAATCCTGTTTCCTGTTGTGGGTGCCAAGGAAGGGGAAAGCTGGCTGGTGGTGCTTTGGGTGGGTGTCCTGGGTCCTGTGCTTCTGCAGCCCTCCTGCTTACAGCCCTTCTCTGAGGGCAGCACTGCCTAGCTTCTACTGGCTAGAGCTGCTGAAAGAGGTCCTCTTGGAGTTCACTGAAGACACGTTCTTTCTCACAGCCTAATTACTGCTTTGTTCCTGTTTCGCTCACAACTCTTGATTCAGACTGGGATTTTTTTTTTCTGTTTTCTAATAAAATTACTTCAGGTAAACAAAGTGAAGCTGCCAAGCAGAGTCAAGGTGAAGCTGCCAAGAAGCAAGGCCAAGCCCAAAGGCCGGTGAAGAAAGCCAAGGGAAGAAAGGGTGCCAGGTATGCTGGGAGCTGCAGACCCAGGAGGGTGCTCGTCTTGGTGTGGCAGTGCTGCTGTACCACATCTGCTGTATTACAGATAAAAAAATCTGTAATCAAAGTAATTCCCTACGTCTTACCTATGTATAACTGGTATGAGGTGACAGGGCAGCCCCAAGCACAGCAGCAGCCTTTCTGTTCTGTGCTGCTACAGGCCTGGCTGTTGACCACTGCATTTTGGGCCTTTTTTTCCCCAGTTTCTTGGCTGCTGACGCCCCAAATTGCAGTAGTGGCTGGTAGGACTAGTTTGAGACCCCCAAGGAACTACTTGGGGCACCTAAAAGCATCTGGGGACAGGCTGAGAGTCTTGGGGCCAGTTGTGGTTTCTTGAAGACCGCTGCAGAGCTCAGCTGAGCTTCAGAAGCCAGCGATGCTGCTGCTTCTGCTCTGAAGCAGGAAAGCACTGGCTAATCTGTGGTTCTGGGCTCTGGAACTGCTAACAGGGACTAACATCTCTTCGTTTAACTAGGTCAGAAGGAAACTATACAGCTGTGTGCTTAAAAGAGGAGTGTGTCACAGGCCTGCAGGAACAGCTCGCCAGAGACTTTTTAAGCGCGCATCTGTACGGCCCGGAGGCCCGGCGGGTGCAGGGTAGGCAGGTCTTCTGGGTGGGTCTGCCTCTGGGGTGGGCTGTGCTAAATTCTGGGATTAACTCTCATCTCTCACAGCAAATGAATTTTTTTCCATTGAAAATAAGAAAAAGCCAGTGAAAGCAGCTGCAGTTCAGTTTGTGGACAAATCTTGGGGTGAGTACTTAAGAAAATATTAAATCCAAGTAGATATTACTGTATGCATATATGGTCTAAAGTACACTTAAAGAAAACAAAACAAACACCCAAACTTTCCTGTGCTCAAGGGCTGCATTTTGCAGCCTTCTAGTTGCAAGAACCCAATAGTAAGGAGAGGTTAGCAGAGCCCTACAGCCTGCTGGATGGAGTGGGTGCTCCCCTGGGGAGGGTGTGTGAGACAGAAGTTGAAAAAAAAAAATTACCTCGTTTTTGGGACATTAAGAAATAACATCTGGGTCTGGAGCTGTGCTTGATTGTTGAGATACCTACAACATTAATTGTTGTTCCCACCTACAACCTCTGAGCTGTTGGAAGTCATTTCAGATATATGTAAAATGTTTAAGCAGGGATGCCAAGGTCCTGGAACACTGGCGTGAGCACAGGGAAGCAACATTTATTTCTCCTTATAAAAAACAGCCTCACTGAAAGGAATGGGGACAGGTGTGTACCCAGCCTCAGTTGCAGGCACACACACTGCCCAGAGATAAAACAGCACAGGCTGGTAATGTATGTGAAATATGACAGGGAAATATTAGCTTTCCAGTCAGTTCTGAAATCCTGCAGTAATCACTGAATTCTCCAATTGATGGGTCAAGACAACAGTAACTAATTGTTTTGTTTTTTTTAAGGGCAAGAAAAAAAGCAAAAAGCATTAAGGTTTAAAAAACGTTGGCTCTCGACACAGCTTAAAAATCAAGTATGAAGACAGCTTTTTTTTCAGAGGATGCAATTAAGGACTTTTTTAACTGAAACTTGTCTGTCACCCCAGCTTTCCTGACTTCACCATTGCTCAGCTCTTGGGTCTAGAAAGAGCCCCCAGCAAGTGCCAATATTCAGACAGCTGTGCCCAAAATGGCTGCTCTGTTCTCTTCCTCCCTCCTTCAGAAGTGGTCAGAGAAACTAAGGAACAAGCAAGGCCAGGGTAGGAATTCTGTATCCTTAATACTGCCTCAGAGCAGCTGGTGTTACAACCACAGTTGTAGAGCTGCCTCTGTGAGGCAGCTCCTTTGCAGCAAATAAAAGATGAATGGTGTTTGTACTTGCTGTTCTGGATGCTACAATCAGTTATTCCTGCTTTTCCAGTTACTTGAATCACTGACAAAAGGCTGTATCCTAAAACTAGGATTGTGAAGTCAGCTTGCACAGCAGGACACTTCTTATCCAGCCCAGTGATGGCTTTCAAGGAATAAAGGTTCTGTCCCCATTTTCAGGGAGTGCCTGAATAAGATTCCATCAGTACCCTGTGAGCTGGACTTGCAGCTTGGACTTATGACAGCCCAGCCTCTGCCCTGCTCTGGTGCAGGGAAGTGTCATCCCCAGTCAGGCCATGAGCCCATGTGCTGAATGCTCAGCTCTCTGCCTGTGCACCCCTGTCCTGGGGTAGAACTCTTAGAACCAAGAAAACGTAGCATACAAGTCCATGCTACTGTGTATGTAGAAGTAAGTTTTTAATGGCTGGTTAATTATGGTATCACTACATTTTATTGCAATATAGTACTATTTAAGCACTTTTAAAAATGCAAGGTGTACAAAGATTAAATTAAGACTGTAAATTGACTAAATATTTGGTTTTTATATAAATAGGTCATAACCACACTGTGTTGACATGTAATACTGTTATAATACAACAGTTAAACTGGTGAGTCTACACAACAGAAGCTGTCTGTAGTTAAACAAGGAAACAAGGTTGAAAAGACCATGTTAAAACAAAAAACTACTAAGATCAACAGGTTGGGATTGTAAGTAGCAACAAACATATTCACTCAGCTCCTGAGTAATTCAAGTTTTACAGTACACATTAAAAAATATCATTTCTTCCCATCAACACTATATATCCAAACCATCAGGTGTTTAATGCATTTTGCAAATTACACTGATTGAACTATGTAACAATGGGGGTGGAGGTTGGCAAGTCATCCTGCTTGACGTTTACATCACCCACATGCTAATACATCCATGTTTTCTATTCTTCTGGCCCACCACAAGGTCACAGGATATTTGGTGTGTTTTGGACAATCGTTCAAAGGATCGGTACTTGTCAATTTGGATGTCTGACATTATCAGTGATATTTTCAACTCTTAGTTGTCTAAGAGGCTTAAAGATGGAAATTTTCTCCTAACACTAAGTTAGAAATCATTTGCATCATGCTGTAAACTAGGAAGCAACATAAAGCGACAGACTTGTCCTTAGTACATAATTAAAATTCCAAATTCCAGTCAGCAGAGCTGGTCTCTTAACTTTCCATGTTGAATATGCCACAACACCTTCCAGCTCTCCAAATGCATAGCTAGTGTAGGTAGTCTTCCACGGTGGCGAACGCGCAGGAGCCGATTCCTGACCGAGCCATCAATCCTAGACACTGTGAGGCTTGTCCCATTGCTAGGGCAAGTGGCGGTTGCTTTGGCAGGTTGTGAGTCTCTGAAGAAGAATCACAGTGGCAGTTGCAACACCCGACTAATTTCATAGGAATGAAGCAAAAACTTACACTTCAAGCTTGCTTAGGTAATTAATTTCAAATTTCCTGTCGTCCCTCACGAAGTTTGCTCTTGCAGCGAGACAGAGCAGGAGCATCCAAGTGACCTTTTCAAACTCCCTGCAGAGGGCTGTTACTGAACGGGCCTGGTGCCTTCAACACCAGGAGAAAAACTAGGATGGGGACACCTGTTCCATTACCGTGCCCCCAAAGCTCCCCCTCCCTCTCACTGCAAGAGCCCAGGCAAGGTGGCACGGGAAGCGCAGCCTGTGCCATGCACGAGGAGCAGCGGCCTCGCCTCACTCACCTAGTATTGCACTGTTCAGGACAGAGCAGACGGGTTCTCTCTGTATCGGGTCAAGCTGGTTTCCAACAGGGCTGCTCCAGGGATCCGAGTATGCGAGCAAACTGAACGCATCCTGCAGAAAGATGGGTTTCATTACATCTCACAGCTATATGCCAGCAGTGAAAACTAGCACCATTTTCTTATTTTGACTCAGAATCACAAAGGTGATTCAAAAAGGGATTTAAAAAACAAATCTTCCAGCCAACCCACCCCAGGACTCGCTGCATTTTGAGCAAGCAGCGGTTTTTCCCAGCTGGAAATGACACAGGAAGATGAAGTTTGCAGTATTTCCAGTAAGCAGTGGGGGAAGAGAAAGCAGACTGGAAGCTGCATGCAGTCAGTCTTTGGCAGGGGAAGTCTTCCCCAGAGCAGTCTCAAATCAAGGTAAACTAATCAACAACACACAGCATACTCGAGAGAGCACGTTTTAGGCGTCTGTACCAATCCTCTTTGTTACAGTTCATCTACCACTAAAGCTCAGAATGGCCCTTTGATTCAACAGGCCAAGCTCCATGTTCAGAAATGAGACAGAGGAAGCGCTAAATTTATCTCTGGTTTTAACTGTACTACAGTATGAAATTATCTTTCCTGTGAATGTGCTACACAGACAAGACAGGAGACAGTGCTACATCACACATGACTGAATACTGAAGTTACAGGACAATTGTGCAATGCAGCACGTGGTGGGAAGTTTCTGCTGGGCAGCACAGTTTATCCACCTTAACACCACCATTTCAAGAGCCAGCGTACCTTGAGCATTTTCTTATTTGCTGTGTTTTTGCCACATTCTCTTCTTAGCTGCTCACTCATTGCTTGCAATTCTCTTCCAAAATGGATCATCCTTTCAATAGCCGCTTGGCTGCCACCACATAGCTGACGTCTTAACTGACTTGAATCTACTTCTGCAAAAATGATATCGTCATCACCACCGCTAACAGAGCTGACAGTAACAACCTATGGATCTAGGGAATCCACTGATTTCACTCAGGAGACATCTGCCTTCTCAGAGACAAGGCACATAGGTCCCATACCAAACACTGCTGAATTGCTCCTTTATAAACATGAAGTGACTTGGTTAGCTAACAGCAAAAGCAGTCTACACGTGTTGTTTATGCTGCAATGATTAAACAACTAGACTATAAACCAACTTTTAGCCTAACATTTTGTGGGAACTTAAAATGAGTAATGACCTTTTTAGTTCTTTGCACTTCTAAAGATATGACAAATCTAGAACTGCTAACAGAAGGGGAAAAAAACCCTGAATTTCCCAACAGCCACAATGGAGATTGCTGCAAGACAGTAATTTAAGACTGTTCATTCTCCTTGTAGAATGTATCAGCTTAACGACTTGGGCATTTCAGGCTTCTTTTGTAATCAAGAAGAACACTACAAGTGACTTCTTTACTGTTTGATACAATATTCCCCAATATTAGTAATTTTAAAATATATAAATGCAGTTTATGAACAGTAAAATCAACCCTTGGCTTTCCTGAAAGTTCTGCTTTTTAAAAATACACAACTAGAGCAACCTGTAGAAAAAGCAGAACACAAAAAAACAAACATCCATTCCTTGTCTTTTCTCATCTATGGAATCAAGTTTTGAATCAGAAATTTGATGTACATGTTAATTACAAAACCTTTCTTCTCTCTGATTTTAACATTGCTATCTATCCAGTGATGGATTTTAACCACTATTTCAAATAAGGATGTGTAAGTGGCCACTTTACTTCTTTTCTTAGATGTCAACATATCACCTCTGAAAAAAATCTGCCTACTTAATATTGCATACACAACACCAAGGAGAACATATAAATATTTCAAAAAGAAAAAAAATACACCCCCCCCAAAAAACGCAACAGTCAAGTTAAACTGTGGGGTGTAAACAACTTAGGTTGAGAAGCCACATTTCTCTTTGACAAAGCACTCACAAGTCTTCAAGTGTTCCTTGCTAAATGCAGCCAAATCTAGGACATGACTTTCCAGAGGCAGAAAACAACTACATTAAAAACACCCCACAAACAACTCAGCACCCTGTGCAGCTGCTTCATGTCTGTCACAGCAAGCCCATCTGGGAAAGGCTGCAAGTCAAGAAATGTTTTGTTTTCTCTGTCACAGGAATAAAGCCTTCTTATCATCCAGTTTCAGAACTTAATTTGTGGAAACAGCCTGGAAATAGCCTGGAAATTTGAATATACTCCCTCCAGGGCTGTAACAGAGTTCTAACTCCGTTTCCATAGTTACATAGTATTTAACAGGAAGCACATGCCCTGGGAACTGTGAAGCATTCATAGGTATTTGTAAGTGCTGATAAAGTTTAAGAATGCAGTTGTAATGTCCTGTGTATCATGTTTCATTTAAACTATTCATTTATGTCTGGTTAAATCAATTGTTTGAGAAGACAGTTCTGCAACTGCAGAAGTGGCCGGGCTGCATTCCTCCACTTCTTCAGACTGGGTCCAGCAATAACCACCATTGCCTAAGCTCCAGCCCACGTGCACTGAAGTGATGAGGCTGCCTTTACTGGACTGGGACAGCCAGCACTGCAACCCCCAGAGGACACAGGATCAGCTTTTGGCGTGCTGGCAGTCAGAGGGTATTTAAATACTCCATTTGTCACCAAGGTCAGCATGTATGACTGAGTATAAAGCAGGTTAAAGTAGAACAAAATTATTTTTCAGACAACTACATAAAACAGGATTGTTTCTTAAAAGCTTTTTTTTTTATATATCTCTGTTCCCAAATATAGGGTTTTTTTTCTTGAGCATTTAATATTAGCACTTTGCATTCTTAAATATATGCAATTTGGAACTTCTACTCTTAACTGTCCAGGGCAAAGATGCCCTGAGAACCATGAATGGCAGAAGGACTAAGGGAAGGGAGAAGCAATCTGCCAACCCTAACCCAAGCATGCTATACCAACAGGATGTTTCTTCTCAAAGGTACTTGCTCAGAAATTCATGCCACTTTTAATATCCAAGAGTTATCCATTTCCCATGTTCTCACACTGACATTGGACCACCACCTATATCAGTGGTTATAAGATTTACATCTAATAACAACAAAACAGACAAAACAAGATTTGATTCCTAATTTTCAAGTTGGGAAGCATTGCAAGTAAAAACATAACCTTGTTGCCATCACTTAATAAAAATGTAAGAAATATCACTGCAGACCCATTTCTGTGTCACATTCTTCCATTTCGTGATCATGTTTAGAACTACCATTTAGGAAGCCATTGGATGAAGTCTCAGCAACCCCATTGGAGTAGTGATCTGTTTCCATGTCTACATCATTGCTGAAAAGAGAGTAATAAATACAAGTTTTATGCATATTTAACTACTTATGGTTATCTCCTTCCCAACTACAGCACAGTAACTTTCTCATTCTGGCTACTGAAAAGCTGCTTTTAAATATTACCAAGATAAACCACAGCAAATGGTGATGCCAGAGCACTAAGGAAATGTTAAGGCCCTCTCAGCTAACATTAACATTCAGTAAAAGACCTTCTTCAGATGCAGAGAAATTAAACGTGTCCACTGTCACTCAGGAGTAAGTAGTGTAACACTTTCAAGACACACACCAAAAAGTTCTTCCCATGTTCCTCTGTCTGTACATACATAGAGCTGGAGAAAATGCATTAAGAAAATACAGTCTTTCCACTTGTTTTTTTTAAACACACTTAATATACTGCCTACTTTGAGAGTATCATATTTAGGTGAATAATTATTTCAAAAAACCCTTGACTCTGATTTAGTCTCAGCAGAATGACAAGAAAAAAGAAGAAAATTGCAAAGCAAATTCTGAGTAAACCATGACACTGAAGAGGTAACTCAAGAGCTGGGAACTCCTCACCACACTCTTCTTCCTCAAAGAAGCACTTTTAGGAAGTGCCACAATGGTTTTGGGGACTGAGCTTTGCTGACAGCTACATCCTAGCCTGTTCTGTTTCATCATGGAGAATGACAACCTAAAACCTCTTGCAAGACCAAAAGGATTAAATTTAAAAGGTTAATATATCACTTCTAAGAAACCAAAAATACTCAGCTTCCTTTGAGGAAGGAAACCAAGAGGCCTCTCTGACTGGGCAACACTGCAGCCAAGGAATTGTCTTCCTCCTGTGAAAAATCTCCACGTTGCCTGGACACTGCCAGGCGTTTTGGCAGAAGCCATTGCTGACACAAACACAATGCATTAAGTTAAGAAGTAAATGGTTACTCTTACTTTTCCTTCCCCAATCATGACTATCCAACTGAAATGGGTTTTGTTACCACCACATCATCACATGCCAGTTGGTAGTTTTGGGAATCCATCTTGGACAATGCAGCTGAGCCCTGTTGCATCAAATTAGGTTCTGCTGCACCGCTGCAAGCCAGAGCTTAGTATTTATTGTCTATGAATAACCATATTAACCCTGGTTAATACATCTGTTTTCATCCTCTGAACGGAATGTGTTTGCACAAGTGATAGTTACTGGAGTAAGCAAACAATTCTTGTGTGTGCAGTGGAAGACAGTCCATGTTTTCTATGAATCTCAACAGTGTTTATTTTGCAGACGCTGCCACAAATGGGAGAGTTACCTGGAAAACTTTTAATTATCTACATGCAACATGCTTAAATCAATGCCAGTGGTTTAAATTAAAATCCCAAGTGCCAGAGAGCTAGTTAATCTTCAAAGTACAATTTCAAAACTGACCATAAATAGCTATAAGCAAGGTAAGTTATTTTTGTCCACTGCATTTCTTTACCCAAACAAGAAAAAAACAGTCCACTGAGCTTAAGAAGCTAAAACAAAGCCAAAGCACACTAGGGTGATCATGAATCCCCTTATATTGCTTTAACTGTCCTTGAAAAAAAATCACATTTTACTGCAAACCCTTCTCTACAACAAAAGCACATGCACAACACAAGCTTTAATGTAAGATGAGAAGCATTCTGAAGTTTGTTCACCTGGAATAGCTGTTAACCTGCTGTGATCTTGATACATTTATGTTGTTGAGCTCTGGTACATTCAAGCTGGTGGTCGTGTGTTTACTGTGACAGTAAGATTGATGCGCTTTGTTTGATATTACTCCATTACTGCAACTACTTTCAAACCCTGAAAGAAAGTTGTAAAAATTGTAATCATCTAAAAACTGATTTTTAAGTACCCATTTATAGAAGTGAAATAAACATAGTTTAATTGCTCCTCGTCAGTAAATGCTAGATTTGCCAAATAAATGAACCCAATTACTTAACCTCCATGTTTCAAGTATTTGAACCTTTAAGGCTTCTACAGTGCAGATGTTGAGCACTATTGAACAAGTAGCAATGCATACAAGAGAAGATTTTTCAGTTTTATTTATACACCAGCAAAACAAAACAGCATCAAAAGAGGGTAACTTCTTAGAACTGATATACTGTTTCTGAAAGACCTGAAAATCTTTTTTCTAGGACACTGTAATCATTATGAATGGAAGCAGACATGCATCTTACAATCACATAATTCTCCTGATAAACATGCAGTGAAATTCACTGCTGAAAATACTTCACATGTTGCTACACTTAAATACAACCTCCCCCCTTCCCTGTATCATTATTTTAATTGCTAATATTGTGCTTTGCTAAACAAAATTACACCATGCTGTGAAATTACGCCTGGCTAAAATCTCTTCTGACCCTTCTAAAATACAAAAAAAGCCCCTGTTATTCAAAGCAAACGTGTAATTGTCAGTTCTATCAAGCCCAAAAGCAGGAGCTCCCTAGTATCTTCTAATGTAGAAACAGGTGACAGGAAGGGCTTATTATAAATAAAACACTTCTGCCATTCAGGAAAACCCAAACCTTGATTCTAATAATACATTAACCAACTTGTTTATTAAGTAGTGTCTCCATTTTCAAAATTAGAAAGTTAGAGACACTTTCTACAACACATCCCAATAACCACCTGATGAACAAACATAAAATTTGAGTGGACCTCCACTCACAAACATGACAGCACAGTCTTGACATAGAGGAAAGAAAAGCTAAGCTGCTGCCTCCTTTCCAAGGGCAGCAGGCATTCCAGTGTCCAAGCTATACTGGCTTCCCACTCAATCCCACCAAGAGAAAAAATAATAAAAGGTCCCCCGGCGAGAGCCAGTTTGGATTAAAAATGAAACAAGTGAAAGCTGATGGCCTGTCTGCTACCTTAACAGTCTTGGTTTCAAAGGCAACAGGACAGTCACAAGCCATTTTAACATGCCCAAGTTTTCCACAGGGGTGCTCTGGAAGGCACAGAGATCTCCCCAAAGCCATGGGGCAGCTCTGAACATTCCTGGCTTCCCACCTAGACGCTCTCAAAACTCCAGACTGTTTAGACCGAAATTTGGCTGCCAGCAGAAGGTCCTTCACCTAATTCCACCACACAGCTCCTGGTATTTCCTACACAAGAGCAGCTCTTCCTACTACTCCATAAACACCATAAGAAATAGATCACATATAACACTTACTGGATTTCAACGACCTTGCACAAGACATAATTTATCACTGAAAGGATTACATAAACTTGCACCAGAACTTTCTATCTCCTGGAAGCAAGTATTTCCCAGAAATCAATCACAGCATACTTTGCAAACCCTTAGTAAAACCAAGAGCACATGCAAAAAAGATTTTATTCTACTTATACACTTTCCATTTCCCCAGTGACAGAGAATCACGTATTTTAATCATTAATCAAACTACACTTTTATACAAAGCATTCAGTATCAACTCTAAAAGTAAAACAATCAGTCTGCAAGTCTTTTAACTTCTGATATGTAATTGTAAAAAAGATAAAACCCACAAAACACAACAACAACTACACAGTGTGGTATATCTAAATCTATACTGTATGCCCCCCACATCAACTTACCAGAGAAGTGTGTGCTGCTCCCTTTGCCTGTTGCCAAATTGTGAATATTCATTCCATGGCTGGGACTCATGCTAGGACTACTGAATGATCGTGGGCTAACAGGGTAACTGTCTTGAGATTTTGGACTGTGGCCTCCCAAACACCGCACTTCACTGTCTGTACCATTCACCATCTCTATAAACTGGCGCACCCTAAACAAAGGGCAAGAAAAGTTAAGCTAGTAAAACAATTAACACACTTCAATTTACCAATAATAGCAATTATTTAATTTTAGTGTTAAACATACAGAATGCCTGATTCAAAAAAATGCTGGATGTCAGTAACCCAAATGTCAATCAGCTTTGGAGCATTCAGCTAAAAATATGCATTACAAAATCTGTGAGGGAGGAGAACAGGAATATTAATTATGCTTTGAGGACAAACTTTTGCCAATAAGTCCTCAAAGTTCAGAGAACTAAACTGCATTTTCTTGCTTTAGCTGTTTTCTTTTATTGGCAAGGGCAAGGTTACTTCCTGAAAAGGGTGTGTCCTTATGGTCATGTCTGTCTTTTCTCTCAGAGTAAATGAGAACATAGTTTGATCCTCTGGAACAGCATTAAATGGTAACTTTTAACATTAAACATTTGCAGTAGAAAACAGTTTGAAAAGCAAGCTCATATACAAACCTTCCCTTTAGAGGCTGTTGCTCATTTTATTTTATGTGAGGAGGTGTTACTGTAGACTTTAAGGAAGCTTAGAACTACTGCTTAATGCTTTAGGCTTGGACAACCTCGATACAACAGGCAAAATTTAGAAAGACAGACTGAGAAAATGACAACCTAAGTTGACGTTATCGAGTGAAGTCTTTCACCAAAATGTCTGCATTTTATTAATTCTCTGAGAAGTCTGCAGTATTATCACGTGAATTCTGTTTGGTACTTGAGCATGACAGACTTCCAACACATTCCAAATTACTTAACTGAACATATGAACTGAAGTGCTTTGTTCTTATAGGAGGTAACATGTTTTTTTTTCCTGCATTTAAACACTACAATGTGATACAAAATTCTGGAGGATCAGCAGAGCTGGCAAGTAAAAATGCCAGAAGGAAGGTGACTATTGTGTGCCTGGGAAGCCAAGAGAACTCTTTGGGATTATGGAATTTCTACAGTAGTAGCCAGAGGTTTCTACTAGAGTGACAAGCAGTGAAACAGCTCCTTTAAACTGGTCTTTAAAGTCAGTCACCCATTTGTAGGAACAGACAAACTGTTAACCTTCTTGAATACAATACTGTATCAGTTTACATTTTAAGCTTTATGTGACACCCAATTTTAATGTGAATTTGAAAAATTACAGAACTTAGTTCTAGAGAACAAGTTTACAGTGAGATGTGAACTATGCTGCAAACCAAGACCTTGATGACAAAACCTAGTTAAACATGTAGCAAATAATACAGCATAAAAAAGTGAACTACACACATTTTCTGAAAAACGCGGCTTAACTTCATTAAAATTTCTGTGAAAGCTTTAAATGAGTAACTGTCTTGTCTCAGAAGGTACTGTGTCATCTATAAACACACATCTGTATAATTTGAAGACTCACTTTAATGCAAATAAGAGATTAGGATTTCTTTCTAGTAAACTTGGATACAACTGTTGTGTTGTTTCAATGGCTTCTCCCATTCTTCCTGCTAAAACCAATTTCTGAATTCCTGTTCACCAAAAAACAAATAAGAGATTAGGATTTTTTTCTAGTAAACTTGGATACAGCTGTTATGTTGTTTCAATGGGTTCTCCATTCATCCTGTCAGAACCAATTTCTGAATTTCTGTTCACCAAAACCAGCATCAGTTAAATTAACATCTAACAGATTAATACATGTAAATTAGTGATTAAAAGACACAGCAACCATCAATCAACAAGGTTTTTTCTCTTAGAAAAAAATCAGTGTAAAGAAGTATCACCCTTCCTTAAAATGTTCAATAGAAAATTTAAGAACTGTGCTTCACCTACATATATCTAAAGAAGTACTCAATATTTTTAGTTATTGCCAGCATACAACTAGTTTGTATTCAGTTGGCTCATTTAGAGCTAGGTTAAGACTTCAGACACTCTTCTCCAATTTCACATTTTCATACTCTCATAAATAAGCACATACCAAATTATCATCACCCAAGAACATCCAAGTTGCATCCCACCTCCCATAGGTTCCATTTTGACTAAGAAAAAATTTAGTCTCTTTCCCCTGCAACACACGTGTCCAGTCAGGTTACAGTTGACTAAACCTTTCTGCAACAGTCTTTGCTTTATTGATGTTTCTGTTGCTGTAATCTGGCATAAGTTGTAAATAGCCTCACAACTCCACCCACCAACAAAGAAATTGGTCCAGATGAAAAACAGCCCCATGAGTGGGTTATTTTTCAATCAGAGTGGCTTCCTCGTGTGATATGTCATGCAGTCACGCAAGTGCTTGTGTTCATACAGCAGGGATTTAAATGAACAGGGAAGGCACTGCTTCTTCAACAGGCTGCCAAACACCAAGTTAGAACTGAATTGCTGGTAGTTCTCTTTGTCCTCTTGCCCCTCACATCTGTTAAGCAGGAAACTCCCATTTCATTTAACTTAAAAAGCATTCTCTAAAGTCTACTCGTTTTTGAAGTTGAGATAAAAATCTAAATGTTTCTCAAGACCAAGTTTTACATTCCTGTTTGTGACTCTCACAAACACTCCTTTAGTGACAGGACCCATATTTAAGACAGATCAGTTTTCCATTCAAGAAAAAGGCTACAGGTAATTTACCACACTCTGCTACATCAAACAACTTCCAAAGTGTTAGTGTGAAAGTTCATCTTAACCAGCTGTTCAGACATTAATAACTTTACATGAGAGCAAAGAACTGTACTATGGAGTAGTGCTGAAAGGAAATTTTACAATTATGCTTAAGAGAAATTTTAATGTAGTATTTGTTTAAGGGAGGAAAAAAGGATGTAACATGCTTTCCAGGCTTACTTTGTCTATTTTTAATGGAAGCTAATTCTTCTAGCACAGTCTGGTCTGTGGATCTGGCGAATGCCTCTGCTGTTGCACAGTATCCATGGTGAACTAAGTAAGATGATACCATTCTAAAAATAAACAAAAACAAAATGCAGAAACACTCATCAAATACAGGTAAGAAACCAAGAACTTACTGAATGTAAGACGCCTTTTCTGAAAAAAGTGACTGAATAAATGAATTCTACTTGAAATTCAGGAATTTCAGTGCAAGTCCAGACAAAAGTAATTCAGTTAAAAGCCAGTATCTTCTTAAAAACACTGTACAGGAAAATAATTTTTTAAAATAATGTACCATTTTGATAAATTTTAATAAAATGATTCATCACTCAAAGGTAAGCTCAATTCAAATATTACCTGCTGATTTAGTTCCTTTTATCCGCTCATTACATACACTAAAGTGAAATTTCTGCACACTAGGTTTTTGTTTTCACTGAAGAAATAAAAAAAGCAGAGCAACAACCACCATTTTTCCAAGTGAGACCCTAATGAGTCACAACTTCACCTGGCATGCAAGAAGGCTGAGAATGCAAAGGAAAATTTCCAGAGCCCAAAGTATTAAAACTGCCCATTACAACCACAGCAATTTTTTTAACTGCCCAACCCAGCGTAGATAGGTCAAATCTGAATGGAAGACTTACACTCATCATTATAAACTTTTAAGTAATTCTGTAGATAATTATTCTTCTTCCCAACATCTACTTGCGCTCAATTTTATATATATTTATCAAACCTGTTACATGAACAAAACTACTTGTACTAGCCTTTAATAGTATCTGCATTTTTGCACAAAACAATAGCTACAACATTTTAAAGAACTCTGAAATAATGCAATTATTAACTCCTTTTTAAAATTAACAATATTCAAAGTCTTACTTCTGAATCATTGTTTGCCACTCTCCTTCCCGATCTCCTACTGGAAATCTGTCAATCTGTGCTTGAATTTTGGTTCTCCATTCTCTCATATAGTCTTCAATATCAAATACAAATGGATGTTGTCCAAAATTAGCATCCACAACCTCTCCTGGCGTTTGTAGCCCTACTGTAGGGTACAAGTTTGGCTGCAAGAAATGTTTTCATTAGTTTTTTTTCCTCTTGTTCTAAATTCCCCACCTTTTTTTTTTCTCTCCTCTCTGCAATAATATCCCCAATGGTACTAGTAGTGTGAAGAAGGAAATACCTCTGCCCAGCAGTTAAAACAACTTCTATCATTCCAGCAATATGACTGATTAATTTTTATTCCCAGTGGTCATCATTTTTTCATTTTTGAAATAAGAAAACCTTACTAACAATTCTCTTTCTAGTCAGAAAACGCACTTTTTAAACTGTGCTAAAGTTTACAACTTCTGGTTTCAATTTTACAAAATTTCAAATACCAATTTTTAAGTTATTTTCAAAGACCAGGATTAAAGTTTCTTTTTAAAAGAGAATAAAAATTAAACTTACAAAGAGGGCCATTTTCCTTTTGGGGTGAAATACTTAAAACATCGCTGAATTTTAGTGGTAAGAACTGACAGGATAGAGAACTCATTAGCCTCAAAGTCCAAGGGTAGCGCCTAAAAAGAACTGTAACAGTGCATTGAAGTTCTCGTGAATTCCTGGACTTGTATCTAGAAAAAGACTTCAAAGCATTTATTGTTGCCTCAGTTTTATTTTCTGCTTAGAGATGAGGTCTCCATGCAAATCTGAAATACGCCAAATGTAAGAATAGTAAAATCTGCCTGTGGGGATTAAAGTAACTGAACTAGCATCTTGGCAATGACAACACAGTCTGTTGAGGTTTTTGGGCGAGTAGGGTTTTGTGGGGGTTTTGTGGGGATTTTTTTTGTTGTTGTTTTATAAATGTACCTACATCACATTTACACTGCCATCAACAGTGGCATGGTACAATGCTAAGCTGATCTATGAACTATATACTGAATAAATTTAAGCTATTAGAAAAAAGTTATCACCATGCAGGTCAGAAGAACACTGAAGCAGTAAAATTAAAGAAACCGTGCCCTAGCTGATCTTGCCCGCATTTCCCCTCAGCCCCACTTTTTATTTTTCCTTAATAAAACCTGCTCATAGTGTTACCTAGTCTAGACTAAACACAGCACAAGTCTCAAATCTTTTAATGAGGTGAAAATAATAATCTTAGTGAGGACGGGTCCATCATCAAACTTCACATTCCAGTGTCAGTTTTCCTGTGCTGGTATCATATGTTAGCAAGGAGCCCTGCAGGCATTCCATAGATCTGGGACCGTGGCAGTGGCTTCCTACATGAAGTACCCAACCCTGTGGGCAGGGCTGAGGGGCACCCAGGGTTATTGACTTCACTTTTCCGTAGTATCTGTCCTTGCTTCCTAAGGCCATGGCAAACAGAGTGGCTGGACAGATGGAAGTGCATCACACGCTGCACCCTAAATCACAAGTGAAGTGGATGAACAAAAAGTGCAGTATCACACCTGTGCCAGTAGCATAGGGAACACATTTATAACAATTACAATTCAGCTGACTGAAAAGCTAGAAGACTTCAGTTATATGCAGCTTTCTTAAATAAATAATTACTTTGATATGCTTGACCTCATGAAGTGAATAGGACAAAGAAATATTTTGAAAATCAAGCATCAAACCTGAGTTACAGTGACCATCTCTTAAGTAGCCAGCCTTTCTGAATATGATACACAACTGTATATATACACGCACAACTTTAGTGTTTAATGTAGACTTGACTTTGTATGTAAGGCTTACATGTGTTAAAAAATTACTGGTATGTGTTATTTTCTACTAAACTTCCATCAGAAATGCCTGAACGTTACAAAACTGAAAAGGAAAACCCCTGTGAGGACTGGTGTAAGAACAAAAACCTTTTTGCTGCAGTTAACAAATAATCACTGCAATTATAAGGAGAAATATAGAAATAGATATGAAATACTTTAAGAAGATTATTGTTTCACTCCCAAGAAGCATAAGATAAATGAGAGTTACATTTGAAACATCTGTTTATAACTGAAAATGCACTCATCTTACCGGTAAATCTGTGAAAGCGATGCCTGTAATAAAAAGAAAACCAAGATTAGCTTCTGTATATCTAGATTCTAGACTAATTTTCTTAAGTGTATCATTATGTGTTCAGAAAGCTCACCCAAACTATCTCAAAAATAAGTAGTTAAGTATGATGACGTCCATGATGCTCGTGCACAACTGATTTGCTTGAGTAATACACAGCAATATTTGGCAAAAAAAGTGTTCACTCAAGAGCATTCAATCTGCCCTCAGTTTTTCAAAATAAGGCTTAAGATCTTTAAAACTCCATAGAGATTTGCAGATTAACAAGTATGAACATTCTGGCTACAGGTAAAAATTAACAGGAAAACCAAGAATATCTGAAGATATTTTTTCGCTTGCATGTCTTAATGCTGACATACAGATTTAATGGTGTCTTTTCCTGTTCACTATTACTTTTCTTCATTAGCAGCCATTATTACATGAGCAGCACACACCTGTAATACTCCAAACCTGTCTGGTAGATGTTTCACTCTAATCCACACCAAGGTGTTTTGGTTTGGTTTTCAAAGAGAAGAGCTTAGCATATTGTTATATAATTACAAGCATCCATCTACCCATAGAACCAAGGCAGTGATTTTGCTGTCGCAGGATTAGAGAAAAATCTGACCTCTATATGCTTCAGAAACTTCAAGCAATTATTCAGAGGAGGGGGGAGTGACTGATGGTGGCAGCACCTTTCAGTTAAAAAAATAAATACCAGGAAATCTTCTCCCAGTCAAATGGCAACAGTATTTAATAATTTCTTTACTGTTGTAAGTATTTATTCAGTATTTTTATCCCTTCAAACTTGTGTTCTGCATCACTGCCTTTTTGAATTTAAGATTAAAACAAAGCTTTTTACCTTTTGTCCCATATTCCACCCCTTTTCCATCTCCATTCAACAAGATTTCAAATCTTAAGAGCATCTGGATTGTCTACTCACATCTTTGTTACATTATGACACACACCGTGAATCTGTTTCTTCACATCACATCTTAAAGCTATCATTTTATTTATTACCTGTTCATGTTTTATTTTTTTCTAAGATATCACTTCTGTTTGGCACATTTTGACACCCAGCTCACTCTTTTCCAACACCACTATGGCAGTAGGCAATGGGGTTTTTATGAGGTTTGTTTTTGTATTTTTTTTCAACCCAGGATTTCACACTTGCGTAAACAACTGGTTGGCTCCTTTTGTAGCATCAAATCCCAGGCTAAGCCAGAGATTTCCAGTACTCTAGAGTGGATCTGTAGCCCACAGAAGAACCATAAACATCCTCCAAGTCATGATCATATAGGAATCCTGGATAAACAGCAGCAGCAGCAATTCAGTATGACAGACAAAGTTTCTAATTTCTTCTTCCTCTGAACACAGAATCAATTTTCCTCTGTCAGAAATTCAAGCTATCAAAGCCCACAGCAGGAAAACAGCTGTCAGGTTACCTTCTGAAATCCATGAAGTGTTTGTCAGACTCTGTCTGTGGCAGATGATATTTTACTAGTCTCTCTTCAACTATGCCATTCTGTTCTCTTCTTTAAATAGATTTTAATCACTTGGAGCGTTGTTTCACATTTGGCCTAATCCAGCCTGGTTTAAGACTTCCACTGAAAAGGAAGGTTTTGTTCCTCCTTTCTTAGCTCTCCCATGTATGTGACAAACAGGCAGTCAAACAAACAGTGTCTCTTTGGTAGATCAACAATCTGATCTAATTTACCTGAAGGCACATACTGCTACTCGTTCCAAAAAGGGAATAAGGCAAGACTACCCTTCTCAGCTTTAAACCCAGTAAGATTAGGGTAAACACAACATGAGCCTGTCATCCTCCATTTTGACATATAACCTGAAATTGGGTCAAAAGAACAGTTACACAGTGTGCAGTTCAACTGTCCCACTGCTGTAGGCACCAAGGTATTAAGTCCAGGAAGACTCATTCAATTTAGAAGAAAGATTAAATCATGATAGAATAGAATCATAAAATTAATTACTTGGAATTGACTACTGGAGGTATCTAAACCCTGCCCTGAGTAGGGGCAGGACAACTACAAGTTAGACCTGTTTGCTCAGGGCCTGAGCAAACAAACAGGCAGTCTTATTTTGAGAGACAAGGAGAAGAATTTAAACCATGTCCTGCCCCTTACTGCTTTCCAGACCTTCCTCATGTTTGGCAATGTAAGAAAACAGAACAGCAATTTCAAGAGTCCCTATCTCAATAGCCTCTTATTTCAATCCAGCCTTTCTTTTCCTTATCACATTTCTACCCATGACCAAAACCTTATTTCTTCCTTCTGAGCTTTACCCCTTGAAACTTAGCACAATTCCAAGATCTCTTCCCAGACCCTTGCTCTCTCCTTAATGCAAGAAGCAGGTTTTTTTTCTTCTTCCTGTATTTTTTTCTCTCATCAAATTGCATTAAGTAACTGATTCTATATGTTGCCTAAAAAAAACCCAAACAACTCAACTCCCTCCTGCCATCTTCAGACTCAAAAATTGTCTTGTAGTGTTGCATAATGTTAAAATTTACCACCAGGATTTAATGGACTCAATTTTAAAACAACTTGCATAATTCATAGCTGCAGCCCAAGTCTGCATGACTCCGGACTGAATTCAAGACATTGTTCTCCAACATATGTTCAAAATAGTGCCCATCTGATGTAAGGTTTTAGTGAAGGCTAGGTGTCCCTCAAACAGCAGTAATGACTTCTAGCTATATCCAGTCTCCATTTCTCCACTTCTCTTGTATTTATTAGCCTATATCACAAACATAAAGTTATTTGTGGATTTAGCAGCACAGTTCATAAATGCCAGTCCTGTGGAATGAGAGGTTATGACAAATCCTTCCAAATTCACATGGAATGTTAATGCAAGTGGCGTACAGAAATTACTCTTCCCAATTCATTAGTTACTTCATAGATTATGAGTCTATGGAAAGAACTATTCAAACACTTTGGCTCTAACATGAAGAGTTTCAGACTTATAACAGACTTACAGACACGTTATCATTAAAAATAACATTTCTCCATACCCAAGCTGTGTCCATTCTTTGTGTAGAAGCAGGTATTATTGATAAGGTTGACACAACAACCAATGACATCACCCGTAGTAAACGTTGGGCCATAGGGCTGTCCAGTTCCAGAGGAACAGAATGAATGTCCATCATCTCCATGGTAACCATATGAATGTTTATCCCAACCTAGAGAACAAAAGCATTTGCAATGTATTCATTTCCTTTATTCTGAAATAATGGAAAGACTGTGCAAAGTTAGTATATTCTAACAAGATTAATACAGTTAATTACTATGCTCAGTTTTCTGATTTTTAAGATTTCCTACCTAACAAATCTGTTTAATTTGAAAAATTAAAGACAAGTTCTTTTGTCAAAATGGCTGAAAAGACCATTCAACTTGTAGTACATAACAGGTAATGTACATTCAGATGACACATTTTTCTTTTTAGGTGAACACCCAAATTACCAACACTAAAAATACGATGAGCTACAATGTTGAAATCTGAAAAGCTATATGCAGATCTGACAAGTCCCAATAAAGCAGTGAAGATTCTTCTGTTCTCCCTTTCATCTTGCAAAACTATTGCTGCCATATGTCATAATCAAAATCTTCCTGGCTAAAACCCAAACATGCATCTCTGGGGAAACACATTTCTATTCCTGCTTATTCTTAATGACTATTCAGCAGCAAGCAGACTGCATAATAGCAGAATCTCTAGACTATAGTGTCACCAGCTTTGATGCCCCTGAAAACTGGGGGGGGGGGAAGGGAAAATTTATCAATACAGGTAAAAGCCACAGTCAGCAGGCAAATTATTATGTATCCAAATATGGTGTTATTTTGCAAGTGAAAGCTTTGTATTGTTATAATACTCAATAGAATTCACCGCAAGTAATTTTAGTCTGAGCCTCTTAAAAAATACCTGTCCAGACTCTCTGCAATTCAATACTAAGCAAAAACACATAAAAAAGAAGTAACCTTTTAGGCATCACAAAATTTTCTTAACACATCTATTAAATGCCTACTCAAAATAATATAAAGCACAGTCTTTAATGCAAATCACCACATTGCATCTATATATACATATATATGTGCATTTTAACTATAAGAATTTGTACTGATAATTCAAATTATTTTTAAAGAGTAAAAGGTTGTGGGTTTATTCCTCTTATGTCAAGCTGCTGCATAACTGGTTAATTTGAAAGTATTTTCTGTACTTAGGCCCTTAATCTGCATCATCAGTAGCTTCAGCTGCCACCACATTAAGCAGCTCTCAGAAAATTCATACCTCAAATTGCTGCAGGTAGTTACATTGATCAGTAGTATCTTTGACAATAATTTGCAATAAATCATACTAAAAAAACCTTAATGCTACCCACTTATAATTCATCAACCTTAGCTGGGCTCACAGTGTAACTGGGACTTGCTGTCATCAGAAGGACCTCTATCAGAAAAACAAATACTTAAAGGACAATTCAACATTATTTATACTTTGCTGATAGCAACGATTTCCAAAAATCAGGTAGTTTTTTTGATATTTAAAGATCTCTTTTAAAAACCCAACATGAACACACAAAACTACTTTAAATACTATACAAACATACTGCAGGCAATTGTTACCAAGACAGTCCCTGGATCATGCAGGTCAATGGAATAGTTAAAACTATGAGAAACATCCTTATTATTAACATTAGACAGGTAACAGTATGAGAGCTCACTCCAAGTCTGACACAAAGGTTTTATCACAGTTTCTCATCTTCATTGCTAGAAATTCTGTTTACAGAGCAAGGAGATCTACAGCTTTATTTTTACCAGGAAATATGATGGAAATTTTAAAACTTACTTGTTTGCTAAAAAGTATCTGTGTACTGTTAAAAATAATGCTACGAGTTGAGAGAAGTAGTACAGGAGCAAATGTACAGTAAAACAAGTAATAAAAAGCTAAACTTTCTAGTTGTAAGCTTTACGTAATTCAGATAACAGATGCAACACAGATGTTGTGCCACACTCTCTGTTGCTTACCAGAACCTTCCCATCAAGGTCAAGCGTATTTTAAAAAAACAATTAATGAATTTAAGTAACTTACCAAATGTAATAAATTCCCAAACATACCTGGTAGCCTGTTCATGTTCACACCCTGTGCCGAAAGCCCAATTCCCATGTAACTGTAAAAATGAAAGAACAAAATAAATTTTTCCGTCTCTTACAATGAAACATATGTATGTGGGATATTGCCAAGAAACACTGTGCTCATTAATCATATACCAATTAAGGTGCTGAGAGGTCATTTAATACTGGCACAACAGGAAGGGAACTGAAAAGTAATTCCTTGTATATGCTGTATATAGACAGATTCTTTCACTGCAGGACGTAAGGACAACTTTATTCTCTTTTAGACATACTGGGCTGTCAATGGAGAGAATACTGCTATTAGCCATGAAGTTTAAAGTGTGACTGAAGAAAGCCAAAGGCCATCTCTTATTTTGAAAGGAAGGGTAAATAAAGCTATACCCACACCAATTTCATAACCTTCAATGGACATAACCATGTTTTGCAGACAAAGTGGAGTAATTTTTCAAAATACATGCAAAACTGTGCATTATTTCAGCAGCAAAATGCATCCTTGCGAAACACTTGTGAAAAGATCAGACTAAAACATCAAAGGCCTGGATCACAGAGGAAAATGTTATCTCGAGAAATTTACCAGCAGCTACTTAGCTGTTGGCCAACTAAGGAGGAAAAGCATTTATTTTTGCTGTGCTGTCCAGCAATCTTGAATCTAAACAAGACACAGCTATGTCAATAAAATCCCAAATTCAGCTTTACAAAGGTAGTTTTAATAAAGTCAGTTTCCAGCACAATTGTTAACAATTTAAAAGCAAATACTGGAATGTTGAAATTAATAATACACCCCATTCCAAAAAAAACAACAAAACCCATGCAAAATCACACTATTTGCAAAAGATACAGTTTTACTTCTATTTCTTAAGCAAAAGTCATTTAATGACCAAGATGACACGAAACCAAAACAGAAAACCAGCACAATGAAAAACCAGGCTTCCACCCTGCTCCCAATCAGAAACAAACCTCACCAACTAAAAGCTAGCAACACAAAATCACCTAAACCAACATTTCCTCATTTAGTAAAACATGCAAATAATTTTGACCTTTGTTCAAATTACTTAAAATAAATTTATCATTGAATAATTAATAAGCTGTATGGAAAAATAATTCACTCATGCCAACTTGAAAATAGTTTAAGACAATAAACATGACCTTTGAATTGCCATCTCATAAAATGGAAATTTAAAGCAAGTATTATACTAGGAAGTACAGGTTAATCTGCTATTTTAAATACATTTCATATAGAAGGAAACTGGGCAGGGAATCTCAGAAGTCATATGCCTTACTGTACACTGGGCTTTGTTGTCTCTATTGATCAATTCCAAGTTACCTTAACCACAAAGCCCTTCTCTGCTCATTTTTCATGTATGATTCCCATCTTTGTCTCCATCCAACATACCAACAATATGAATCTGAACCTCAGAAACAAAGCTGATACTACATTTAAAAGACACCAAAGAGCTTAAGCAAAGGGCAACAAACAAAAGGATTAGTCTTTGCTGCGTTGCTAATTACATTACTGAGGCACCACTGCAGCAACAGTCAACAAAACAATTATCAATGAAAGCAACAAGTTAAAAACTCTTGATTTTGTCTTAAATAATAAAGGCACAATTGTTATTAGCATAGTCCAGGCTTTGATGCATGAAGGATTCTTGTGTAAAGAATAAAAATCTTTTATTGTAAAGTCTCCTCATAAGGAGAATTTATTAAAGGAATTATTTTTTTTAAATATTTTTTAAAGAACTCCACTGACTGCAAAATGCCTTTCAACGTGAATAATATTAAAAAAACACTCATACTAGTTTCATTTTAGTATTCTTGTAGAAACAAGAAGACACTTAAACAAAAACGTAAAATGCTAGACAGAAAACCATCATCTAGGTAACTTTTTGGTACCATCTGTTTTTTCTCCCTCAGATACCATATTTTAGAAGCTTTCTCTAACTCAGTAGCAACTGCAAACACAGTCCCACTGTATTTAACACAGCTGGAAACAAGGATTATTTACCCACTGGCAACAACTAGAAGGCACTAGGTACTGACACCATCTCAGTAAGATGACAGATGTTCAACAATATAGTATTCTTCCCTGGGATTCACTTACAAACACTCAGAATGTTAATAACATTTCATCAAGGAGATGTGGTATCAATACAAACTCAGGTAAAGTTAGATTAAAACATTTCAAATAATTAACACGTTTACTGTAGACATCTTTCAATAGGAAAAAAGGAATGGCTACAATTTCTGGTTTGGAAGTGAGTGAAATTAAAAGCTCATCAGTTACGCTAATTTATTATGTTATAACTGATGGAGAGCTAATCCCACGCTCAACTGGATATAATACACTATAAACTGAAGCCAGGAAAGATAGGCTTTAGATGCTCTAAAATTCATTAACAGGAGTTGTATTTATGCAAAACTACTACATTTAACTTTTTTTTTTCCCCAACACCTGCAAGCTTCATAGGCTTAGACAGACTTTTGTTTGTTTTTTAAAGAAACTTAGTCCATATTTATGTCCAGATTCACTGCCTACAAAAAGATTTACATAAATTGTCCTCCTGTTTATTTCCTTAAAAGTTCACATATCCTGCCTCAGAATCAGCAGAAAAACAGTGGCAGAGCTAGGCATGTTAGTCTTTCTCTACAATGCAATGCAGGACACTGGCTCCCAGACTGTTCATGATGCATTTTCTGCTGTCCTGTTACATGAATGCTTTTGGACTAGGCAATACCCACAGATGGGAAGAAGAGGTGCACTTAGACTATGTCACACCATAACAGCAGCCCTGGGGAAACAGAGGTGACAACAGCAGGAAGCAGCACGCTCACTCTGACATGTAGCACCTTCCAAAAATGGACGTGACACAGCCCGGCTTGAGAGACCAGAAAGGGTGAATAATAAATAGTGTGATTCTGATGTTGCCTCCCTTGTCACTTCCCTCCCTTACCTGCAGATGATGCCCCCACCTCAGCCCTCCACCAGTAAACATCTCTGGCTGCTGCAGTGGGAGGATCACTTACTTACCTAGGCAAATGGAAGGAAGTGGCCTGGTACTTTTTCATTAAGAATCAGTCCCCTCTCTCAGAGCTTTTCAGTCCCACCAATTGTTATTTATCACCTCCTTAAAGTGCTTAAGTCTTACAGGAGCACACAAAGCTACAAACAAAGTGGAAAATCACTAATGGAAGACATGAAATCAACCCATGAGAGATTTAAATAAGAGCCTAAGGCTGAAAACCAACCCAAAGTGCAGCCAAACTAGTACTAGGATCAAGTACATCTTACATATTCCTGATGTTTCACTTCAAATTCTATTTATTCTTATTCCAGCTAATTAAAGATATAGATATCGATTTTCATGACTCAACACATCTAGTTTACATTTCACAAGTCATACAGAAATTTTTAGGAATACTGAAAAACTTCACTTTAAAATTTTCTGAAGATTTGGAAAATTCGTGACTTTTTGTCACAAAGCAAAAGAAAAGTCAATGTCAAAAATGGTTGGGTTTTTTTCTTCCATAGCACAGACTGAAAAGTCAAGGCTTCTCTGCACTGAAATACATAACAAGCTGCAAGCTCACAAGAACTATTTGCTTCTCAAATATCTTTCCAGTCAAAGAGCTAAATTAATTTTTTTGCTGGAGCCTGAAGCCTCTGTTAGGTTGCCTGAATATACTAAATGTGAGAAACCAAAAAAACAGAACCAAATAGAAGGGAAAAAAAATAGCATTAAGAGAAGGTACAGAACTGGATATGGCTAAAACATAAGGGAAAAAGAAAAAAACCCAGTAGTTTATAGAGAAGATGCACAATGCTGTTTTTTATTTGAAACTGTGCTGTTAGATCTTTTAGCCACTGTAGGTGTATGGAAGATCTTTCAATATAGAGTTGATAATAACCAGAATTCAAGTTAATTATATCCTGTCCCACTCACTTCATATAGAGAAAAATACAGCATCTCAAAAACTGTACCAAATCACAGGCGTATAAGAAGGGTGTAAGTATAGAAAATTGCAAGAATTTTGGGACTGAGTGAGCTTCTAAAGGGCCTTTGCAAATGACTGTCTTTACTGACACTATACTATAAGGTCAGAAGTACAGTGCACTAAAAAGGTCTCTAATATTCATATTTAATATGGTTACTCTGCATTAAAATTTTGTAGGAATATGCTAATCCAGATTCTTATTGTCTGCAAAATCACAATAAGAAATGAGCTGTTCAATTTTTTTCTATTTAAATGTTTCAAAATATGCCATAGACAGTTTGAGTCTTTCATTTCAAATTGAAAACAAGTTTAATTTTATGGAATGTTTCCAAGGAAACAGTATTTTGAACATGATAAACCCAGGCATCAGATTAATCCAGTTCTACACAAAGAAGGAGGAAAAATATATTTTAAAAAAGACAGTCATCTTGCATAGTGCTTGAAACTGTTAATTCCTGTAACATTTTGCTGTAATTCCAACAGTGTTCCTGGAAAGATTCCAATTTACTGACATCGCACTTACTTTCTGAGTTTGCACAATTCTGTCTTGTGATACTTCTCCCTAAGCTCTAAACGTTTTGGGGGACTACATTGACAGAAAAGAGTATTTGCATAGACAATAATATACTGTAAAGTCTGGGCTGCAGTAAGATCATCATCTATACACTGTGTTTATGTGAATGAACCTTGTAAGAAAGAAATAACTTAAAAGACTTTGCAAGACGCAGGGACCAAGAAATTAAATACATTATCTCTGCTTTCTTTTTAATTTAGAAATCTTCATTTCTAAAATACATCAACAAAGAAATAAAATTCCTTTGTTCCAATTCCACGTATTTCTGACCAGTTCAACACAAACCTCGAATAATCCTCTTACACACTTAGTTGATGTTCATTTCTGTCATATGTCTGATCTCCTACATTCAGGTAAAAACTGCTACAGTTTAAGAAAAGATACACTTGCTGGTTCATGACACAATCTCTTTATGCAGCTGCTTCAGCTCCAATGAAGGCACTAATGCAAGAAAGCTGCTTCAGGCTTTATCAGATTCTACTCTATACTCAAGTAATGTGCTAATAATGCCACAAAACATACTTAGATGTAAACATAAATGGAGTGAAGTCTGCATGTTGTTGTAATAAATGCCTGCTATTGTTACAAATAACTGCTGAGGACATATGAAAACTATAAAAATAAGTCTTAAGGTTGCACAGTTTTAAGATTAGATTAGTAGTACACAAAAAATACAAACAAAACTAGCAACTAACAATGTTCTGTATTTTGTTTCTGGTTTACCCTTCTGTTGTGAACAAGAAAATGGGCATTGCTGAAGGAAAAGTCAACTTACTGCAACAGAAATAATCTGCAATAAAAAAAGAATATGGTTTCTGCTTAAAGGGTTACACGTATATGCTCTTGAAAACAAGAAAGCATTTGTATTTCACAAATATCCCTCAAGCACACTAATACAGCTAAGGCTGAACCACAGGCATGAGTGTAATGAGAACTCAAATTTAATTCCCATGGTATTTCTTCTGTTTGGATAGTTTTTACTTTTTTATTTCTTCACCCACTTACACAACATGTGTAAGATACTACCAAAACAGCAGACGACTGATTATATGGTCAGTGTTAAAAAACAGACAAACTGAGAGGTATCTAAAGCCTTATCAAAAAGCGTACTGATTACTTGCTGTAGTAACATTTGATTTTAGTGCAGAACATTTAGAAGAACATTTAGATGCCCACAGCAAGAGCACAGAGCTATTAGACTTGTAATTTACATAAACCATGGCAGTATCAATGCAAGAATCCCTAGTTGTATAAAAGAAGGAAAAGTTAACCAGTATCTGAAGTAAAATATTAACTACACAGCCATAAGACAGATGCATTATGGCTTTACACAAAGCCAAAGGACCCAAGTATATAAAAAACTAGCGCGAATTAATTCAGTAAAAAGAAGCATAATACAACTGAGATCAACATTTGAGCTAGCCTGGAAAAAGTCTCATCTGGATACACCCACTTAGCTAAGAGAATGGCCACCATGGTGATAATTTTAGGAAAGTAAGGGGACAGTAAGTATTCTAGCATATTTACAGACTAAAGCTTACATCTCCAAATCACAAAAACAGGTCCACAGGACTTTGCACACCCTTGATCATTTCCTTTTCTGTACCACCAATGTAATCTGCTTTAATTAAGGTTCTATTCTAGAGATTTAGATGAGACTAAAAATACTAGAGTTGTATGCAAAAGGCGACAACGCCTACCTCATTTTCTAGAGTACTGTATGAAGAAATTACACAACAAAAGCTACATACATTATTTCTGCTTCTCTGATAGATCAATCACCAATAAGGGCTGTGTTAACAGCTTAAAGGTTTATCTTAAAACTACAGCTATGCTTAGCTTTCTGAATCATGCCATAATTTTTCACAGTACTTGCTGCAATAATCTGCTTTAACTGACACACATATATATTTATTTTTAAACTAACCACAGACTTCAAGAGATGCAGATATTATTTATTACAGTTAATACTCTTCCTCCTACCATAATTTCTAATCATCACCTTGGTACTGTTGCCCATACTTAAGTCATTACTCATCTACTGTTATTATCTCCAATAGTTCACATCTCTGTTCCACATGAATGTTCCACATGAAGCCAAACAAAAAAACAAAAAAAGCAAAAGAGTATAAAAAGAGAACATAAATAAACAGAGGTCCTCGAACTGCAAAATGAGACATGAAATTAAGGAAGAAAACTGAAGAAGTAAAGAACAACAGAAAAATATTTACAAAGCAACATGACAGCCAGTTAGCACTTTTTAACAAGAACTTAAAAATATTTAAGATAATTATTTCACGTATCTGTACTGTAGCAGCACATTGAAAAAAAAAAAATTTTGGGTTTTTTAACAACAGAAAAATATTTACAAAGCAACATGACAGCCAGTTAGCACTTTTTAACAAGAACTTAAAAATATTTAAGATAATTATTTCACGTATCTGTACTGTAGCAGCACATTGAAAAAAAAAATCTTAGGATTTTTCATGCCAAACACTGTACAAAGACCAAAACAGTTTTTGTTTGCATGACATTTCAACCTTATTACTTTCATTAACCTTAATTCTTACTTCCCCTTTTCTCATATATTACCAACAGCTGCTGCACAGCCCTATCATCTTTTTTTGAGGTTTCAAGAAGCAACTTCACTCCTGATCTGCTCTGCAACACCAACCTCCATATCCATTTCTTGCTAATAAACCTGCTTTTGTGCTTTCCTCAGTGTGTCCATAATACCTAGAAGTTGATCACCACAAACACCTGTAAAATCAACATGTTATGCACTTTCAGATTCCTACTCAAGACTAACACCCTACAAATATATCAATAATTCAATTACCTAGGTCACTACTGTGACAAAACCAATGCTTCTCTCTCACACAGACAGCTACAACAAGCCATACTGGAGGCCAATGCCATATCCATGCACTGTAATAAAACAAGTTGTGAGGAGGAGAATAATCCTTGTGACTGCCCAGCAACTTTGAGACACCTAAGATCATATTCCAGAAGCAGTGCCATCATGTGCTGCAATAGCACAAAAAATCTTCTAAACTAGGTTTTCAGTAAAAGGTTTTTGATGATTCGAGGCAAGTCATGCTAAATATAACACACAAGCAACAACCCTGTTAGACTTGCCCAATGGATGAAATAATGCAAGCTGACTTTATTTAAAAAAAATAGTAAAAGCCACCACCAAGGAGAACCCCAAATAAACACTATTAAATTGCCCATTGACCTTTAGGAAAACTGAAACCTAAACTTGATCTTGCAGACAGACAACTGAGTTGTGGCGGGTAGTCTAGGACTTATTTTAAACAGCACTCTGCAGCTAGGCTCAGGCCTTGAGAACAGATGCTTCTGCAGCAGTGAGGTGTTTTAACTAAGTGACCCTATCAGTCACATGCTGGTCCTCTACAGAAACAGTCTTCCTGAACTCCGTTCTCATTACCAAATGCCAATAAGAAAAAAAAATAAAAATGGGTAAAAACGTAACTGGAGAAAGCCAGATGAAACACAACAGGCAGTGAAACACACACAGACACCTTTTGAAATCCATCACTTAAAAAAAAACAACAAAGCAGGCATAAATAAATCTCAAGAATAGATGCACATCACTAGTAAATGACTGTAAGAACCTCTCCTTAACTAACAGCAGCAGGAAAATTTTTAAGAAGTGTTAAAGAAATGAAAAAAAAACACAAAATGTGGTCCTAAAATTGACAGTAAGACATTACTTGAAACACTAATTTCTATCATCTAGATTTAAAAATAATTAGGTCTATATAGTGTGACAAAAGAAACTACAGACAGAAGTTTTTCACAGCAAAGAAATCTCCCAGAGATAACTGTTGGGAACAGAACCAATAACAAATTTATAAAAGCCCCAACAAAGGCAGCAGCAGTGTTGAAAGGATGTTTTTTCAAAATACTTCTATGCAATACTATAAGCAAAGTAAAGTTTTAATACCATTTATGACTTAAGGAAGGCTTACAGAACACTAGGGAAAAGAAAGAAAGAAACAGCAGCAAGACAAAGCCAGGTACTCAATTTCATCCAAAGAGCTATGACACAGGTCTTTCCTCTCAAGATTTATTTTCACAACAGGACATATGCATCTGCAACATCCTTGTACAGTACCTAGGACATTCAATCCTGACTGGAACCTTGAAGCAGAACTAGACTACATACTACAGCATACTAGAACAAAGTATTGCTTCTGTAGTCCTACATAGCTGACATAATCAATGTCTCAGGATTAAAACACAACCTCTAGTAAAAGGAGAGAAAAATTAAAAGGAGTTGAAGTGGTCTGGCAGAGATTTCACTAGCACTTCAGGACTTTCCCAGGTGAGTTTCTATCTGCCTCAGCAGTCTTAAAAGCATGGTATCTCCTGCACTTCAACAGTATAATTCAGATGGGTTCCAGGAAGCAGCAGCTGCACTCCCTCATCAAGTCTTCTTCTTTTTGTAATGCCCAGGCACCTATTCAGAACATTCTCTTTTATTCTTATTACTGTTCACCAACAAGTAGCCTTAAAAATAACTTTCCATTTTAACACTGATATGACACCCGTGAAAAGACTGCACTGAGAAGATAAGCTGGTCTGTTGCACACCCTAAAACCTTTTCAAAAATCATGTGCAATTCTGTAAAGCCATATCATCAGAAAACAACACCTTTAAAGTTAAGACCAGAGTCAAACTAGGATCATTCAAACCCTAACTTCTCTGTTAAGAGAAAATTAGAAGATGCTATTACAGCATTTATTTTGTACATTGATTTGTGGACTATAAATACCACCATCATCTTCCTTAAAACAACCAAGTATCAGAGCGTAACACCGCATTAATAATGAATTAAAGACATAAAAGTAGAAAATATTACACTAAGTTTTGATATCAAATACATCTGTTGACTGAAAGACAGTGTGAGACAGGATTTCAAGCAATAATTCATAATGCACCCAATGCTTACCCATCTCTTCCCTTACTGACAATTTTGACTTCGAAGTAGTATATGCCACAGGCTGCAGGTATAGGATGTGTAGCTCGAACGGAAGCAGCATCTTTTGGAGTTTTTCCATGACCTGAAAAACAATTGCATTCAAAACACAACAAAAAAGTATTTTAGATAATTGCGTAAGGTGAGCCAAAGGTATGCATACCAACTACTCAAAAAAGAGTACTTATTATGTAATGAACAAACAATATACAATACTCTAATCAGCCTCATTTTAATGCTAGAGTATTTTCTTCCAACATTAAGTTTCCATTGTAGGCACCTGCATTGCAACTACGCATGTTACGAGAAGTTCTCGATGTACTACTCTTAAGAGGTTCTATGATTAAAGAGAAACTAGAAAATGATTTTACCACAGTAAGTAGAGTAATTGACAAAAACCCCACATGGTTTTGAAAGAACCTATGACTTGAACAATTTCTCAAATGCAAAGGGCTTACTCATTTTTATAGACTTGAAACGTGATATAACAGTTTAATGCATAGTGCTTCTGAATCTTCAAGCTGTTTAAGATACTTTAATTTTAATGTCCCTCATAATAAGCATCAGTCACTATACAGAACATAACTTTAATAAATTTCTATGTTTCGAATGTTATTTCAGGACAGCATTAAATGTTACAGCCTGCAACTGAGCTAATACAGCTCTTACTCCTCTTTCGTGCAAGGCCTACTACGTGTCAGCTCTGCCACAAGAACACCCAATGCCAGCTCTTTTCTATTCTAGGGATTTTCAACCTAAACATGAGACTCAGCTGCACTTTACTAAGACTAACTCTTCTGGATGTGTCACCCTCTTTACAGCTCTTTGTTCCAAAGGCAACTTGGAAGCAGGCTTTCGGCCAAATGACTTGTTTTAGCAGCAACCTGTTCAAGCAAGCTTCATTTCTCCCAGGCACACCAAAATCCCTCAATTACTGTGTGAAAGTCACACATGGGGACATAGGACGTAGTTTAGAAAAACAAAATAAATACAGATAAAAAGATAGCAAGGTGGAAAATCTACTGGATCCTGGCAAGAGGTATTTTAATAGGATGGCAACCAGGAACAGATTGTCATTGCTGTAAGAATAATTCACACAAATCCCATGCCCACTCTCCATGTGAATCTGAGGCATCATGAGAAAACACTATTTCCAGAGTGCTGTAGGAATCACTTGGGTTGCAGCACTCCAGCTGCCATCTCTGGTCCAGACAGCAAGGCCTACTGCACCTGCATAGCAATTGATCCATGTATGCCAAAAAGTAAATAAATACACTCT